ATCCTGACTCATTTAGCTGTCAATCCACCGTGAGTTTTCGCCGAGCTGGTTCGTCAAGCAAAAGAAGTGGAGAGAGTTTTAGGAAGGAAAACAACGGAAGAAAGTAGCATGTCTGACAGAGTAAAGAAGATATTGAACCATCTCAGTCATACAAGAGGGTGAGAGAGTCTCAGGGGTTTTGGAAGAACCCAACAGGCCAGTCTAGATGACCAACGCATAGTGCAAGCAGAGTAAGGATATGACCAGTCAGCACAGGAGACCATTGGCCATAACTTCAGTAGCGAGTTCGGAAGGTACAACAAGGGTGCAATCTCAACCAAATTGCTCTACCTACGATAAGAGGCACTTGGGAGTTTACTGACAAGGAACTCAGGGTTGTTATCGATGTGGATCTTTAAATCATTTTATACAAGATTGTCCAGAGGCTCAGAATGTAACCTTAGAGTCGACCCAACAATCAGCTCCAACAGTTCAGAGGGGCAAAGAATCTCATAGAAGTTGGAGCTTTTCTGGTCAGACCTGTAGGTATGTAGTGCACTCTGGAGCTACTGGGAAGCCGAGAGTAGCAGCCCACCAGTATACCATTCGAGCTCAGGAGGATGACGATGAAGCTGATGATATTTTAGGTGACCTTACCTTATTTTCTATTCCAGTAACTGTCATAGTTGACTTAGTAACTAGCCCTTAGAATTAGATGTTATGGTAGTTAAAGGTCGTAGTAGATGTTTGTCGAAATTTCGAGGATGAAATTTCCTTTTAAAAAGGAAGAGTTGTAATACCCGAATTTCAGGTCAGTAGTTTCGATCAATCTGAAACTCGTCAATAGATCCCATTAGATTTTTCCAAGCTATTTTAAACCAATTCCTAAGGGTATTGGGCTTAAGGTAAGCCCAAGAGGTTAGTGGTAGTTTTTATTTAAGGTAAAAATGAGAGACCTAGATAACAATTTACCCATAGTCGTTTTAAAGGTTATAAACCCCTTTATATCCAGAGTCTTCCGTGTAAAATCAACCCACCTAAAATATCTTCCTTCTTCATCTTCATTGCTCTCTTCATTTCCTTCTTAAGAGTAAGAAAAAGGAAGAAGCTTGTTGAAATCCAAGCCTAGTTTGAAGACACCAAAGTAAGAAATCAAATTCACATCCCTTATGCTTCATTTTAAGCCCAAATATTAAGTTTTGAGCTTTGTTTTAGAAAATGGGTTTTTATGGGTTTTAAGAAATCAAGTGATTCAAGCTATTCTAGAAGGGAATTTGAGTTATAGGGAGTGTATTTAAGTGTTATCCAACATTTAGTTTAACCCATTTGCATATATTTTTATTTAGTGAAAGAGATTGAAGAAAGTTAAAAAGACAAGGGTAAAGGAAATGTAGATTCTTAGTTGATTGATTGAGGTTTTAGCACTCAAAGGATTCAGGTAACACACTCACAACTTCCTCATACCATTAGTGGGTCAATAAAAATGCAAATAACTTATGTTTGAGGATCGAGGAATGATGAGTTTATTTTAATGACAAATTGTATGTGTTAGGTTCATTATATGTTTTAAAGCCTTATTTATGCTCCCTTAATATCACATAAGACTTTTAGAATGATTGGGAACCTCCTAGGGTCTTTGGGTTATAAAAAATAGAGTTTTTCGTTCTTGTTTTATGGTGTCTGCAAGTAGAGTATCGATACTATAGGGATAATATCAATACTTGTTCTTCGTTCCTGGATAAAATCGTGTTTTATGGGTAGGAGTATCGAAACTCTTTCAAGAGTATCGAAATATTGGGTCATAGTTTCGAAACTTCCAGAAAGTATAGAAACTAGGTAGTCCAGAATGCTTAAAAGTATCAGTACTTATATAAAGTATCGAAACTTTTATATGAGTATCGATAGTCTTGGGCTAGTATCGTTTCTTTCACTCTATTTTGGGCAAAAATGTTAGTTTTTAAGGGAATTAGACTCGAGGCACCCAACATTTTGTTATATCATCAAATAAGACTACAAGTGGAACAATATTACTAGTTCATCAAACATAGAAACCAAATAATTGGGGCGAAATAAGACTAGCATTGATTGAAGCTCGAGAAATGATTCGGACACCCGAGTTCTTTCAGAAAGCTAGTGGAGTTGAATGTATAGATGCAGTCCGGATATATCTTTAGGGAGGGTGCGAGGCCCTTAAAACTGACTAACTAGGACGCAAGGTCTGAACACCCGCAAGGGATGGGTTAGTCGGGGGTATGGTGTCCGATGCAGAAATTTCGTATATGACCATATACGGTAGAATTATAACATCCAAACAGACTTGTTCATTCTCACCATGCATGCAACTTCATTCTTTACATCATCATCTTTAATTAACATGACCTCAAAATCCATCGTGACAATAATTTCATGTGAATCAACACCTCTTTTGAATCTTCTAAACTTAAATGAATATAATATAAAATTGATCATGAAAATAATTTACTAATAATAATAAAATTAAAATGATTTACTGATAGTAATAAGATCCTTATCTTTAAGATTCGGTGTATCAAACAAGGATTCACCAATTGTTTGATTTGGAGAATTTTTCCATGTCACGTCATCAACTTTTACTTCTCCAAAATTGCAAATGTCTTGGTATCTTTATAAATTTCTCAAAAGAAATTATTTGTATGATAAAAAGACTATATAATTATTTTTATAATACTTTTTCACATAAGCATCATTGACATTTAAAACCCATTCAAAGTCTGAATTAAATTAACGGTTTTAAAATTCATCATAACTTCATTGTCTAATGCATTGAAACTCATAAACCGCTATTAGTTTAGTCCAAGTTTGTCATGTTGAAATCAAAACCACAACCAAGACAAACTAATAAAGACAATAATATTTAAACACAAATATTATCTTTTATTAACAACAATGGTTGGTTATTACTATAATTATTAATAGTAATAACCGTTTAAAATTCTTTAATAACTATTATTATCCTTTAAAACAAGACTATGCATCTTCTCATTTGCTAAATAACAAGAACCTTCATAGAATTTATAAGCTCTATTCTAACACCACATTAATAATCCTATGATAATGGACTTCTAATTTAGACTTTTTAAAGCAAATAGTCAATGCTAAAACGTTTAAAATTAAAACCTACTAAATTGAATTTGACAACAGATATTTCAGCTAAATGTTTGGAAATTGCAGCAACAACAACAACAAAACCCTGATTCCCATATGCAATGGGGTAAGGGAGAGGTAGGGTAGTAGGTTGACCCCAACGCCAGGTTGAGAGCAGTTTCCGTAGAAGACCTCCGGCAGTCAGAAAATTAAAAATAAAGATAAGATGCAAATGCGTGTATAAATAAATAAATACATAGATGAACAGTCTTCATATGCAGTCTTGATATGTGCGTCTGTAATGGGGAGTAATCCCTGTAAATAATTCCCTGCAAATAATTCCCTACATAGAAATCTATGCATATAGACTAAAAATGTAAGACCCATCTAAATTTAAAAAGAGGAAACATGAATAGAAATGATACACATAAGTCAATAATAGCAAGCTACGAGAAGGAATAAATTCAAATGAGTTAATTCTTAAACTAAGGCAACACTACTCCGATACCCTAGTTCTAAGCCTTCATACATTTCAATGACAGAAACATGTATAAAGTAGAAGTCATGGAAAGTACTACAAAGATATTAAAAAGAAGACAGAGATGTTCTAAATTAATATGTACGAGTAGCATATGAAGCCTTTACGCTAACCGTTTGCTATTTATGGTTTGAATTTCAAATCCAGTCGAACGTATTTTAACAGCAATTAAATTCGTTTCTAAATTGTTGGAAAAATAGATTGTTGCAAAACAGGCGTTAACACTGACTGTAAAATATTAAATATTAATGAAATATATATATAAAAAGAACCGATTAATCGTGTCGTGGTGTTAACCACTAACTTAGAAGCGAATTTTCGCCGATATGTGTAATTGTTACAATGGACGAATGCTCCCCGAGGTTAACACGGCTCTCCAAATTTCGTACAGGCGAAAGATGAAGTAGACTTGGTGGTACTGCTCTTCTCTCAAAACTCAAAACGGTACTTTGAACATGTTTATAAAAACCATGGAGAGTGTTTTTAAAGCAAACCATTGCTTAGAGATATTTCTCTTGAAGTACCATATGAAATGAAAAAATGAACGTCCATTTAGGCTCAACACATGGGTAAAATGATAAAAGATTCAATAGCAATTACAAAATAATTAATTATCATAAATATTATTCTAATGACCATAAATTATATTAAGTATTTTGTAACGACTATAAACAGTAAAATAAACTCTGATAAATAATATTCTAATAAAAGGATCTTATCTAAAATAAATACATACGAATCGAATTGAATTACGTCAAACGATTCGTTAATCTATTTAGTTTTTTTTATTTATAAAATATTTTTAAAATTACATTAGAATCTTAATATTTATAACTCTTTTTTATTTGTATTTAGATCGCGATAGTTATGTAAGATGGGGGAATTTTGCTTAGACGGATAGAGTGTCAACATTGTTATCACCTTCAAGGGCCTTTCAAAAAGAAAAAATCTTCAAGGGAAGGGAGCGTGATCCGCATGCACTTTGAACTGTGGGTCTTCGGCTATGATCTATCGGAATATACATGTTTTACGATTCAGATGGAGAGTCGTAGATAGTGATCCGCGTGCACTTTGAACATTTTGATCCTCATATTGTAGATTTCCATGAGGAATCGCATTGAGAGTTGTTGGCTGAACCAAATCTCGAATAATCTTGTTTTCCTGCAGATTTATAATTTTAAGGAATATGAGCATTCAGCATTCTCATGTGCAGTGACCCGATGAAGATGAATTCTCATCTTATTTGACAATAACACCTGAAACGAGTCCATGGCGATCTCATACCTCAACCATGAAGCCAAGCAAAAACTAAAACATGCTGGAACATTTATACAATTGATGTAAATTTTTCTGTGCTTACTTACTAGCATCCGAGAGTATTTCTATATAGCAGGGGAAATAAAAAATATACATGCATTTCAATTTGCTCATCACAAAATACCAAAACACATCGTCTTATTCTGGTCAGAAAATTTGTGCTAACAAAATGAAGCAAACTAACTCCCACTAGTTGATGCCCTGCAACACCTCATCTCAGCATCATTCTCAACTGCTTCCTGTTATTTCTTTGTATGTGTCGCTTATTTTCTGAAACAGAGCTTCCCTGAAGTTTAAACATGTAGAGATTAATACCATCATACTATGTAAATCACCCTTTTTTTATGTTAAAATCGAGACTTGCCTGTCCGGTTTGAAAATAAGGTTCTTGTAGGCAAACCACTGCAAGGATACATAATAAAAGAATCATAAGAAAGTACGAAATTCCCATATATAATTCTTTGATCTTCCTAATAAACTCAAACGAAACCGGCTTACCGCGGTGTAACCGATACCGACGAGCTCCAGAATGACAGGAATCAAAGGAAGCCTGTCAATTGCCTGTTACAGAAAACACTCCCATTTTTACCAAATTAATTTTCAAGTGCTTAATCACTTGACACAAATCTGCAGTTTTAAGAATCTCACCGAGACTATTCCAGTAGAGCCCCATAGGGCAACTATAACGACAAAAGCAAGTGTACTCACAGCATACTTGTCCTCAACTTTATCCCACTGGAAAGTGAAAACCAAATCATTCACATGTACATGTATAGTAAACTAGTAATAGGAAAAGAAATTAACATAAACAAAAGGCTTACGGCTTCTTGAACTATCTTGGTAATCTCCGTCGTCTCGGTTGTTGTTGTTGTTACCAGTTCCGTTGGAGTCTCGGTTGTTGTTGCTTCCACTTCCGTTGAAGCCTCAGTGCCTGTGGCCATAGCCACCACATTCCGTGCCATCTTTCGATCTGAAAAAAAAGGGGGTAAAACTTAAAACACCATTTGATATAGTGCTTGAAAACAATATGAAATATGGTTTTCATTGGAACTTACAGTAAACAGTGTTCTTGGAGAGACGAATATGGGTTCTTGGAGGAAGAGTGAGACATTGTGGGGATGAAGCAAGAGGTTTTTGACGAGCTAAAGCCTTGGCATCAACGAAGGTAGAGGAGGAGGAGAGTGATAATGAAGTGGAGGAAGCAGAAGCCATGGCTTGTGGTTTGAAATGGAAGAAATGAAGCAGGTTGGGTTTATGTGATGGATATTATATTTGAAAAGAGATGTGGAGATGATTTGTTTTCCGCATTGTAGCCATGGAAACCACTCGTTGGGTTGATCTAGATGGTGCTGAGATGGCGGGTGGATAGGCAATTTATGGTGTTTCATTGGATAGAATGCTCCACCTTGGCCCTATGCTATGCTAAATCACTTGATTTTCTTTATCTTTTTAAATCTCTCCAAATACTCAGCTGATATCTTTACTTTAAAATCTCTATTTCAAATTCCATATAACCTTTTAATTTTTTTTTATTTTCTTTTATACGTTAATATTTTAATTTTATTTATAATATTATATCATCGTCTTATTAATAAAAAATAAGAAAAATATATTTTATATCTAAATGATAAACTAAAGACAATTGAAAAAATGTTTCATACTTTACCGCTACATCGAAATAAGAATAATTATGCTATCAACAAAACTAATATATAGTTCAAATTTTTTTTAAAATTATTTTTTTTATAATTTATATTATAATTATTCTATTTTAATAAATATATGTAATTAATTTTATCATTATTAAATTAAAATTTAACTTGTCAACAATATATCAACTTTTTAGTTTGATATAATTGTTAAGCATTGAACTTTTTTTTTAATTTTCTTTGGTTTGAGTCCCCAAATGTAATCGATATTTTATTTATTTTTCATAAATAATATGATGTGATATATTATTATTTTTATTAGATAATATTAATTAAATAAAAAAAATCATTGACGTGGTATAACTGACCGATAATAAATTAATATTTTTTAATTTTGATCAAAATTTATCGTTTCCGCCAAAATTATAACATTAAGCATTAAAGTACTCTAAAATAGAAGTAAAATGATTATTCTGATAAATATTAAAGAAAATTTTAAACATTATAACTTTAAAATTTCTAATATTATTTTATTTAATGCATCCAGTTTTACTTAAACTAAAAAATGAACTTTAATTCTAATGTATATTTTTTATCTTATATCATATTGTATATTTTTATATTATTTTTAATATCATTAATTTTCTTTTATACTTATTATTTGATAAAAAAAACAGAGTCGTTTTATGAGAATAATATCTATTTTTTTATTATTATTATAGTAACACCCAAACGTTATTATTTTCAAAAATGTCATGTATTTGAGCTATGCATAACTAAATTGTTGTCAAATAAATAGTCTTATTGAAGACACTTATATTTAAAGATGTCTTTTACCTACGTGACTGAAATGGAGGAAGTTGCTTCCAGTTCACCGCGTCTTCTACTAAACACACCCAATTTTAAATTTCAATTGTGCACTAGTTGTAAATTTTTTAAAATATAAATCTTTATTAATATAATAAATTAAGTAAATTATATTTTAAATATCTAACATTTTACTTATTCTCCATTTAGTTCTTAAACAATTTTCGGTGACTGTTAAAATCACTTTTAGCTACCGACGACTTTAAAAGTTAACATTCAAATCATCATAAATTCCCAAATATTTTTGGATTAATATTTTCTATTTTTCATTTTCACTAATTTTACCTTAACTCACAAGTGAATTTTTTTTATTAAACTAAGGTGATTACAAAGTAGTATATGTTCTAAATACTCTCAACCATTTGACATTGACCGCTCAATCACCCTGCTACTACAGTCACTAGGAATAACAACGATTTCTTTAACCACTAAGGTAAATTGATTCGTGCAACTCACAAGTGAATTTAAATTAATATTTGATAGGTTGTGAAAATTAAAATTTCCAAACGATTCTAATAGTTTTCTTAATGGTAAGATACCTATTAAAAGTATTCTTAATCTATTAATAATGTACACACTTTCTATAGTTTAAATTTGACACTTAAATAAATAATAATAATAAGTCTTTTTACTTGCGAGATAAGTCAATGAGTTGAATGATTATGGTACTTTAACCATAAAAGGGATAACATGCAAAAGTAAAAGCAAGCCATTAGGCCCTTTAAGCTGTCAAGTCCAAGTGTTAGTAAGGCCTATGGAAGACCATACCAATTTCTACTATCAACATCTTAGGTGCTTTTAGGCTTGGGCACATATCAATAAGCCGAAGTTTTGTAGAGGAATCCATGGCCCATGCTGCGTTTTGTATTGAGATTGGAGAGGAATCCATGACGTGTAAATCAAAGTCTACGTTGGAAGACATACAATACACATTCGCTGTCTTTTTTGCATTTTTTGTATTTCTGGCAAACGTGCACCAATGCAGAGTGCAGTTGAGGCACCCCAAGCGCGCTCGGTAATATGCTCCTCTTTTACGTCATTTTGCAATCTTTTATTGCCTTGTTAGGAACTCTTCTGTTTAATTAATGAAGGTGATGATCATGTTGTCGACCAAAAGGATAGGTTATTTGCTATTGGTCAAATATGGTTTACATGAAAGGATGGCAGAACAAAGGAGTAGAATATATAATAAATATTGTTTCATCTAATACCAATATGATATTCTTGGTAATTGCAAAGATAATTGTGTTCGGTATCCTAAGCTTGCAACAATGGCAGTAGATATTTGGAGATTTTCTATCTAAATCATTTCTTTTAATTGAATGAGGAGGGATAAATATGATTTAAGATTATTTTATACATTCCAAGAAATTTCTAAATGAAAAAAAAATTATTTATATGTTCAAATTTAAAATTAAATCATATTCTTTTATTAGTATGAGGGTATTACGGTAATATTTGTTTAGAATTTTCTTACTCATTTGACAATGTATTCACACACACCCTACATATGTAATTACTTGAATCTAAGACCTAAAAAAAATAATACTTCATTTTACCGCTAAGATCACTTAATAGTTTTGAAACTTAATTCACATATATAATGATATTTTTGTAAATATATTAAATAATATAATTATATTAGGTCAAAGTAGATTAAATATTTTTTTATTTGAACTTGATTTTAAATCAATTTTAATTTTTCTCTCATTAAATTCGACCTTATTCACCTTAAATTTATTGTTTCAAAAAAAATTAATTTTATAAAATTAAGTCAGAATCTGTAAATTAAAAAAAAATGATACTATTTAAATACAAATATACAATTTACATGCTACACATTTAGAAATGATAGGTTTTGTGATAATAAAAAAACAAATTTATACATTACACATTAAAACAAATTAATGTTTTAAATTAAAATTATTTTTTTCAAAAACAATTTTTATTTAACGGTCGGTTTAATTCACTTAAAATATTTTTCGTAATATGGATTATATTTTTTGGAAAACATTTTTTTGAAAAACATTTTACGGTGTTTGGAAGAGTATAAACTATTTTCCACTACTTGATAATTTTCTCCTTATAGTAGATCTAATTTATTATTTTTGCCTCTAAGTATTTTTGCATCAATTTAGGTTACAACTGTTTAATTATATCATTCTATATCCTACCCCTAACTTAAACCCATAAATTCTAAACCATACACCTTAAATCATAACATATTATCCTTTAAACCTCAAATCCTAAACTATAAATTAAAATCATAAACTGTCACACCCCAACTTAGGGGCTAAATTTTAGAAATGATAAAGTATTGGATTCAAAAGAATTATGGAGAAAATTCATGGACTTTAGTTATTATTTTCCCTCATTTGATTATTATAAGTTAAGAGATTTCTAGAATATTTTAGCTTATTATTGTTAAATGATATGAAGTGTGGTTGGCTAATAATTGTTATATTATACTATTATTTTATTAAACAATTGAGGGCCACTCATATGAGATATATTTTTTAAGTAAAGATAATGCATCCATGGTTCGAATCCATTGCTTCGGGCTTTCACTTTCGGCCAGCTTTTGTATCCATCAAAGCCTTTGTATTATTTTCAATACATGCCAACTGGAAAGAAAGAAAAAACAGACCAACTCATTAATAAAGGAACAAATGAATCCAAGCAAAGCTATGAGTGATGGGAATTAATTTAAAAAAAAAACATGTCATCCAGTGGTTAGAAATGCTTGATGGGTTGCTGGGACCATACTGGAAGGCAGCTGGACATGCTTTCAATTGTAGTTTCATCTTATTCGGATCTGTCATACAACTCATTGCTTGTGCAAGCAATATTTTCTATATTAATGATAAATTGGACAAAGGACATGGACCTATATTTTTGGAGTTTGATGTGCCACCACAGTTTTCATATCGTTCTTTCACAACTACCGGATTTGGTCTTTTATAGGTATTGGAATGATTACCTATACGGTCTGGTACATGGCCATAGCTGCCCTTATTCACGGCCAGGCTGAGGTCGTCACACACAGTGGTCCAACAAAGTTAGTCCTCAACTTCACCGGAGTTGCCAACATACTCTACGCCTTTGGCGGACATGCCGTGACTGTATCTACAAACGTCCATCGCGAGTCTCGGTGAAGGGAGGTAAGATCCGTGAGGAGAAGAATGAGGCGGCTTCGATGGTATGATTTGGGTCTCGAACGGTGACTGAAGACGGTAACCGACGTGGTGGTCATCGACTTTTGATTGTCGGCCGACGAAGCTTCCTTGTTTCATTTGCAGAGCTCGGTGAAGATATCTAAGAGAAAAAGAAAATGACTAAGTCTGGAAAGAAAGATTATGTGAGGAAGAAAGAAAAAAAAAGAATTGAAAATGAAAGTGAAAAAGGAGCAGTACATGAATTTGGGGGTTTGTTATTAAAGTAGAAAGGGGGAAATTACAAGGTAAGACATCCAAGTGTTAAAAGCTCAACCTTGTCTCTTAGCTTTTATATTGTTATGATTATGGCATAATAGTTTTCTTAAGATCGATTTAGTCCCTAATTTTAGTAATTAAAAATTATATTAACTCCTAAAGTTTTTAGTGTTAACAAATGGGTTCCCATTTTATTATTTAGATTCTAATAAGTTATTTTTATGGCAAGGGAAATTATTTGGATACGAGTTAGTAATTTTTATGGCCTGGATCGTGGGAAAAATATTGGAAGTTGAATTAAAGATCGAGGGCGTTCAAATGGAATTTAAATGGTC